GCTAGTCTGGGCTGATAGTGCGGTGTTTCCTTTTCTCCGTGGCTTTTAGGCGTTTAGGTATTGCCCTTGGGCCTTCGGCACGTATGGGTAGTTTTACAGGTATGGGGTCACGCATCCCCCAACCATGTAACACACATATCTATGTGTGGTGGGGAGTGTTTGCTGTCTGCGCGCCGTCGGTGAAGCATTCAGCATCGAGGGGACCTCAGGGGCGTCCGGAGCTAAATGCCAACAGGGGCTTTGTCGCAGAAAAGCAATCGTGAGTGTCCATGCACGTGCAGCGCACATCTGCACAATCATAGAGACATGCACATCTGCATTTTTACATTCTTGCCAATTTTACCTTAATGCGCAGTTCGTCGTGTTCGAGTAGGATGGTCCTTATAATATTTAGCCTGTAGTGTGGTAGGTTGTGTCAGGTAGGGCCGTGAAAACTTGCCATATGGATCGCGCATTGGCATATCCACGGGGGACAGAGCAGGAAATTTCAGTATTCTGATGTCATCGCAGATGGGCCTCTAGAGATCTCTTGCGGTTAATGGTATGGTGTTATGAAGTTGGGTTTGAGTAAGCACCCTACTTGTTAATCTGCACGTTCCGAGTCAGGGGGGCCGCTCTCGCTGTGGTAGTGTTTGTGGCGTGGGGGCTCATCCAGGACGAAATGCCGTCGATCCTTCCTGTCGATGGTTGCAGTTGACAGTTGTGTCGTTCCGACAGATCTTAACCAAGTCTACCTCCTGCATGTATTGAGCCTAAGTGCCAGCCAGCGCCAGCACTGTGGCCACCGGCACCGTGCTGGCGGATTACATCGCTCTGAAAGCTCTAACTGGCTCGTCCGGAGCTGGCAAATCTAGCCTGAGCTTAAGTAGCTTCGTGAATTGCGTTATTCTCCAGAGCGGGATGTGAAACGCCACCGCACGCTTACATGCCGCCGCCGCAAGCTGACATATCGACATTGGACGTCAGGTGTTGAACGGCGCGACAAATTTGCCTCTGGGACCCGAGGGTTGATTCATTCTACTGCAACCGATACCCTCAAGAGTCATAAAAGGTATCGCCCCCTTGTCAATGGACAGCGAAGGGAAAGCCGACCAGGAGCACAGTTGGCACCGGGGAGATTCTTCTGGTATTTGCTGGTGGTGGGCGCCGAACGAAATGCACCGCTGCGTGGTTTAGGCGAATGGGAGACGGCGATGTTTGGGGTTCCCCTTCTCCCGCAACTGCAATGACTGGGAGCCTGGTCAGCTTGGCTTTCGGGTTCTTGCCGGGTCTGGGCTTCATCACATTCTCGCATATGCGTGCGGTCTGGGGGTAGTTTCTCCTTGGCATTCGTGCGAGGACGATGCGTCAAGGGTCAATACTGCATGGTAGTGAAGTTTGTTGTAGGAGTTAGTGGCGACGGTAGGACTGGCTTGGTGGCTGCAAGGAGGCGTGTAAGATCGTTGTGTATCTGTACCTCCAAAGCAGAGACTATTGGATTTTTATTTCCTTGTATTATAATCGCCATTCGCTGATTTATTGTGTTTTGCAGGTACGCTTGCTGTGCTGCGTAGCGTTCCTGCATTGTTGGCGCAAGTTCTGGTGTGTCCGCCGCCTGGCGTAGCTAGCTTCTGGATGTGGCTGCGCGCCTGCTCCTGAAGGTGGGTTGGTGTCTCGCAGTCTGAGGTAGGGTTTTGCCGCACTGAGAGGAAGGCAGCGTGCACGTCGGGGAGCAGCTTACACGAACATGTTCAGCAGACATCCTCAGAACCTGTAATACCTGCCATCCTTACCAGCAGTGGCTCGTCCTGCCGTGTTCCATTGCATCTTTGCAGCCACCGTTGCAAGCTCAACGTCTATCTTTGGGACATACAGACATACAGCTGTTCAAACCAGTAGTCTGGACATCGTTTGAAAAGCTTATGGCCCCCAACTCTGCGGTTCAGGGTCTGGGTGGGGTTTTATGTTCTTGAGTGCATATATGGGAACCGGCCAATGGGAACCGGCCTCCCTTCGATTTCTCGGGAATCCCTTCATTTGACGTTCATTTCTTGTTCATTTCGTGCTCATTACGGAAGGAAGGGCTGAGGGCCCCTTGGCTGAAGTGGTCATAATTCACGATTCCTTTATAGAAGCCTTCTGATATTGCCATGCCAGCATTGTTTTTAGTGAGAACATGACTCTGGTGAGAGCATGACTATGATGAAGCATAGTGTTTTGGAGCTACTTTCAGCAAAACAAGTCAATGACGCGTCGTTGAGGAGGGCATGCCCTGGTTAGATGCAGACCGCAATCAGCAGTTATGTGATACAGATCGGTCCGCTATGTTTTCCTTAA